CTGTTATGCCTGTCATATCAAACACACCGGTGCTGTTCACCAGAATGTCTAACCGTCCAAACGAGTCGATAGTCGTATCTATCAGTCGTCGACAGTCCGACTCCAGGCGCACGTCTGACACCACCCCTAACACCGACTCTGCCGAAGATATCTTCGCGCATTCCTCGGCTACTGAGTGTACGTCCCGTCCGTCCAGACCACTGACCACTACTCGGGCACCGCTTCGAGCAAACAGTAAGGCTATGGCGGCGCCGATGCCTGAACTCGAGCCCGTGATTAGAGCTACCTTTCCTTCAAAGTTATATTTAGTTGCCATTTGTTCAATGGAGGTAAATATATAAAAGTAGACCTATTTATTAAAATGCCAATTTATTGACAATGAGTTTGCTATTATATTTTATATTATACTACAGTCTGTAGTCTACAGATAATATTTCTAGAAAATTCTACAGTATATTGCATTTACCACTAAAACATAATATACTGTACATTAGTAACTACCACTTCATACTCCCTATCCTTGACTACAATTCATAGTTAGAAATAATATTTAAAGTAAATTAAATAATATTTTGTGTTATAATTATGTCATCACAAATGCTTTACTAATATATGATAATAATTTTTTTAATACGAAAAATAGAAATGATAGAAATGTCGGAAATAATAGCCGACAATAGGAATGGGAGTCCGGGAGAGACCATACATTCGGTGTGTATTTCGTAGACTAATATCCAAGTGTTGACTAAAACACAGAAATCTATTTATAATTGTTTTCAAAATAATAAAACTCCGAAAGAGATCCTAAGGAACGGTATTTGAAAATTATAATGTTTAACATACATGTTTAAATTTTTAAGTAATTACATGATTAATAATTAATAGTATCAGGTGAAGTTAAAGCTGGAAGTATGTTGGCTATAATGGGCGCCAGGTTGGCATAAAAATCATTATTGAATCAAACTATAGTTTTGATTTATTGTATAAATTTATTTGTACAAACATTTAAATAAATGGTTGAAAATTTTTAATTAAGTTATTTATGAAATATAGTAATTTGTTTAGTTGTTAGCTTTATAAAGGAGTTAAAAAAATTTCGTTCTTTTATTTGAATATTATATACACATAATATATTATACAGTATACACTAGTACACATTTCTTATTTATTTTTAATTATTTTATTAAAATTAATAAATTTTATTAAATGATTGTGTGATTCAGTGGCTCCGGAAAGACGACTCTATTGAATGTATTGACGGCAAGGAATTTATCGCAACTGTCCGTCAATGGAGTGGTACTCATGAATGGACAGACAGTCAGTCAACA